ATAAAGGGATAAACACTATAAATACGCTAAAGGTATTAACGCCGTGCTATCGTGGCAGATTAAGATAATCGATAAAAGCCGTAAGCTGCTCCTACGTAACGCCACCCCTTAGGGGGTGTATACCGCTATTTAACGCGATACCGCTTACTATATAACTACGCGCCGCGTGGATATCTACGAAGAATATAACGAACACGTTCGTATAGCTCCGAATAGCCTTAAGAAGCTATAGGAGTGGTTAGCACGTTAGCAGGAACTGTTAAAGAACCTCGAGGAGGTTAAATCGACGCCCGTAATGTATAGGTGGCCGATTTCTTTAGAGGTATCCGTGGTATCGCTAGCCGCGATTAGACCGAAGCCGAGGGACGCCTCCTAGATAAGGAAGTAGTTTAACCCGAGGATCTTCACACCCTTAGATAACGATATATCAAGACTAGGTTTAAAGACTAAGGAAAGCGCGGTAATTATCGCGCTATAGTATTCCCTGCACTGTATACTAGAAGCGAAGAGGGTAAAGATACCTTAAAGACCACGGCTAAGCCTAAAAAAAAGGGCGGCCGTGGGAAGAATAAAGCTAAGAATCCCACTACCGCGGTATCTATAGCTATACCTTCTACTACTTTAACTAACCGCTCTTCTTCTAAAAGGCGTTAATCTGCCCTCCGGTAAGGGGAACTCTACCGCGTTTATACTACGCCTAGTCACGATATTAACGCCTATTACTACCTATTCCCGGAAATAGTAACGGATAGTTGGATTACTTACGATAGCACTAAAATAACCGTCTAACGGATCCTCTAATATAACCCTGCGATACGCGCGGAAGTGGAAGAATTACGCGCTATAAAGAAGGTGAAGAAGGATGTAGGCCGGGACTCTATATAGCTTAAAGAGGCGTGACTTAACTATAGTAACGTCCGTAGCGGCGTCTCCCACGCCGCTAGCTTTATAGCAGAAAGCGCTACTACTAGTTACCCTTTTCGAGCTTCTGCTATCCTCGATTCCGGTGCCATAATTTATATATTTAACGATTTCTCCCGTTTTTCTGAATTTACACCTGCCACGTAGGGGGACTACGTAGTAGCCGGTAGTTTAACCCTGCCTATTAAAGGGTTCGGCCACGTGACCGTGAGATTAAACGGACTAATAGGAGGCCTCGATTTCAGGCTCTTAAATATCGTATACTGCGTAGATTTTACTTATAATTTAATCTTAAACTAACGCCTACGTTTTCGAGGATACTAGTAGGATTAGAAGCCACTAAATAACTACCTTCGACGCTCCGATAGATCTATATTATACTAGCTAAGTCACCGATTCGATTAAACCGTTATTAAATACGTGCCCTCTGACCAATCTACGGCTGCTTTTCTAGGCTCTTCTTCTTCCTCTTCTGCTACCCGAAAAGCTATCTATAAATCGACGATACGGTATCTAAGTACTGTAAAGGGTATCCTGTGGTATATACGGCTAGGGCATGCAGGCCCTAAACCGTTTAGACACCTAGAAGAGTAGACGTAGGGGGTTAAAATAAAGGGACTAATAACTATCGACTACGAGGCCTACGAGCTTATAAAGACTAAACGGTATATTAGTAGGCGTCCTCGCACCGTACGTGCCTACGTAGGAGAATAGTAGGCGATTGATTTTAGGGATTTTAACTGAATATCCGACGGGGACTCGAGGTTTATATTTTCCACCGACCGTTATAGTGGTTTTACGGCCACCTACGTTATAAAGAGTAAGCTAGTAGTGGATATCCTCGCTATAATTAAAGAATTCCTCGCCTAGATAGACCGTTAATTAGGCTATAAGGTGCGCGTTTTCGAGGCTGATAACGAGCTAACTTAAGCTACCGATATCACCCTCTTCTTACGTGAGGAGGGTATTCTATTAGAGGTATCTGCTGCCGACACTTAAGCGTAGAACGGGGGTGCCGAACGCGCGGCTACCGTGGTGATTTTAAAAGGTTATACGATAAATATCCACGCTAAGCTACCGCCGTTTATATAGCCTAAGGCTATTCCCACGGCCGTATACGTCTATAACTGCACTCCACGAAAGCAGTAAAAGGATTAGAAAACGCCCTATAAGGTCCTCTTTAAAAGGAAGCCGATTTTATTATATCTTCGAGCCTACGGTTATAAGGCGTACCCGATAACTAAGGACGCCTAAAAGGGCACTAATAAGCTATTAAATCGTATCGCTCCACGCGCCTATATCGGCTACCTCATCGGCTACGATTCTACTAATATCTTCCGTATCTAGGTGCTAGGCCGGCGCTACTACCGCGTTATTCGTACGCGCGATATAGATTTTAACGAACGTGCCTTTTTCAACGGCGATATCAACGCCTTTAAGGATAACCTCCGTAAATTAATAGAGGAGAAACTAGAAGACCTGATTAGTTAGATCGAGTAGGAGAGGGCTAGAGATTTATAGTCGTTTACGGACGTATAAGCTAAGGACCCCCCCCCTTTATATAACTGCCTATTTTGAATTTAACTCTTTACTAGGGCTAGTTCCCCCCGGATCCCCTTTCTCGACGGCGTTATAACCGCTGCCGTTAAGGTTATAGTCCGTAATACCTAGCCGTGAGGGGGTGGAGGAGGCTATCTTAAGTCCAGGAGGACAAGATTTAGGTAACGAACCGTGTGATTTAGCTGGTGTGACGCTTGATCCCCGTCTATAGTAGCCTATAAGTCCATAGCTTCCTACTCTACCGGAAACCCCGCTATTAGTTATAGCGTTAATAGTAGCCGTGATCTTAGATAATCATTATAAAGCACCTACGGCTATAGGCTTCTTCGTGGATAGAGGAACACGATACTGCGATATCCCTATAGTGACGGCTACAGGGTTCTTTATAGATAGAGGAGCGCGTCCTGACCGGTAAGGCGATAGCTAGAAAAGAGACTATTAGGTAGTAGTATTTAACGCTGGCCGTTACGCCCCGGATATATATATATTAAATAGGACTCCGCTAACTAAATTACGGTTAAAAAGGTCTACGCCTATAGCGCTATAGCGATATTTAACGATACCCTGTACATCCACGGCCCCGGTAGTAGCTACCGGAAGTATAACCCGGGAGGCTATATCGGGAAATATAACCCCGGCGGTTACCCCGGCAGCCGTAAAGATCCACCGTAAAGAACTCCCTCCTCCTCCGAAGAACCCTCGCGATATACCCTTATACCCTTACGGCTACCTATTCTAATAGGTATAAGAAGACCACCTGCGGAGCCACGAGGAGATAGGGTCGTGGATACGGGTGCCGGCGTCCGTAGTAGATAGATATTAGGTTCTTAACTCGATATAGGTAATAATATATAAATTCGATAAGTATAGATTCCTATACAAATATAAGGTAAGGCTTATAGTGCGAGGAGATTAGGAGTATTAATTCTCCCTTAAGGAGATATACGTAGTAACGCTAGCCGGATAGTCATTCCGCGCGTTAATAGCTATCGCTGCCCGATTTAACCTTATGCTATTATAATTCGACGTTATAAACCCGTTTATACACGCGCCCCTCCCCCACGATATCTTTATATACCCGCCGCTAGGCTTTTTAGCCCCTAGGAGCCGTTTATACCTGAAAAAGGCGTTATATAGGCTTAAGGAGTCCTTACTACTATAGTAAAAGTATTTCTTAGCTATCCTTTTAGCGGACGGTTTTTAGATAGTACCGTAGGAACCGTCCTATTTTCTACGTCGCGGTTTAATCCTGTTTTTCTACGTTAATAATATCGTTCTTACTTATAAGAAATAATATAAGGCATAGATAGAGCAGGCTATTAATAACCTATAACGCCACTATAACCTATAAGCTGGCGATCCTCTATAATGGTTCTTTAGTATTAAGGTTATTCGTGACCGTGCCTCCCGTAAAGTCTAGCTATTATAACGCGACTATATTACTAAATTAGAACGCCTATTAAAGCCGAATAGTAAGTATAGTAGTAATTATCGCCTAACGGACCTAATTAAGGTTATAGAGCTACTACCCTATTTAAGGACCTCGACTAACGTTAAAAGCTATTAACGGAAGATAGGATCTATACTATACATAGTAGTGATATCGCGGCTAGATATCTCCTTTATAGTATTAAGGCTATGCCGGTTTAACGTTAATCCAGGGCCTGTTTACCATAAGGCCGCCGATTATCTAATCCTCTATCTGATTAACAGCTAATCGTTTACGTTAGAACTAGGGGGTAGCGATACTATCAATATCTACACTAACGCCTTATTTACCGATAATGCCCTTAATCGTAAGAGTAGTTAAGGGTATATAATATGCTTATTTAGAGGTATAATCGCGTGGCGCGCTAATAAGCATGATACGGTTATAACGTTAATAACGGAAGTAGAGCTATTAGCGTTAGTATAAGGTGTAAAAGAGGGTATCTTTATATAACGCCTATTACTTAGTATAGGAGTGGAATTTAACGATCCGGAATTAAGGATCTTATACGATAATAACCAAACAATTCGATTAGTCAATTAAGAGATTAGCACACTAATAACGCGCCTCCGCCACATCGATATCCACGGCCACTAATTACGTTAAGTAAAGGAATAAGGGTAAATACTCGTAACGTACGTTACGAGCGCGGAAATAGTGGTAGACGGATTAACGAAGGCGTTATACGGCGAGAAATTTAAGATATTTAGGTCCTAGGTAGGAGTGATAGATATACGGGAACGACTATAGTAAAAATAGCTGGAGGAAGTCCGGATAGAGTATTTCGAGGACCTGGAGGACGAATTTAAGGGCGGCTATAGCGAAGAGATTATATAGGCCGTATACTCGTTATGTCTGCCGGTTATGAATAGCTTTAATCGCCTAACTAACGTTTTAGGGCGATTAGGGGGTGTGTCGGATAGACTATAGCCCGTTTATGGATTTACGGTTACGTAATAGGCCGGATTGCCGAGCTTATAATCCGGGTGGACATCTGCAGAATCTTCACCACTAATATTACGGTGGCAGGAATTCTCTGACGGTCCGTTACAGTTATAATACACATATAACTGACTCAATCAATTTTGACCGTTTTTTGTGACGATTTTGACTACGCTTTATCTGATAGACGACCCACGCGCAGAGAGAAAGCCAAAACATTGGCGGCGCCTCAGTTATAGGTGTATTTTTCTCTCCCCCTCTGACGCAGTCCGTCGATAAGATTCTAGGCAGTCACGATGCCTCACTCATCGGACAACAATGGACCCCTCGTGAAGCGCCAGAGATTCAATGCCACAGCCGAGGCGCTTCGTCCTTCGAACCCAGCCTCGCGCATCTTTGCGCCGTTTCGGGTATGGCTGTGTCCATTCCTCTACTGACGATATGATCTCTCATACATCTTCCCTCCGTAGGTTCCTCAGTTCGGCAGCTAACAATCAATCGTGAAGACAGTTGGCCTCGTCTCCCCAACAAACGTGCCCTTCACCTCAGTTGCCCTTGGCAAGACTACCTACCAGATCACCACTTCCGTCGGCTGTGCTCTACAGACATACGACCTGAAAAGGGGTCTAAACCTGGTTTTCGTTACTCGACCCCAGACACCCGAGAAGATAACCGCGCTCTATGCTTGGAAAGAAAAGATTTTTGCCGCCTGGGGTGACCCTTCGAATGGCGAGGAACATGGCATATGGGTTTTCCAACGAGGTAGGAAAGTGGCGGAACTCCGGCTTCCCGACGACCTCGACCAGCCGATTCAACAGATTCTCGTCTTTGGTTCCTGGATAGTCGGATGTGCATCGACACGCCTCGAGGTCTGGCGAACGGGCACGCTCGAGCACTACACGAGCCTGCACACAATGGCCGGAAAGAAAGGCGACAACGAGATTACCGGCGGCGTTGTGAACATGCCGACCTACATCAACAAGATATTCGTTGGCAGGAAAGACGGGCGGGTGGAGATTTGGAACGTAAGCACCGGGAAGCTCATTTACATCATCCTGCCCCCATCCCCGGGCTGCGGCTCCGTCACCTGCTTGCAACCGTCGCCGGCACTATCTCTTTTGGCCATTGCCTACTCCAAGGGTCTTCTTGTGATCCACAACGTCTTGACCGACCTGTCGATCATCCAGCTCAATGCTGGCCACGAAGACGAACCGATTTCGACCATCTCTTTTCGGACGGACGGCATGGGCGCTGGTACGGATGGTCGAAAAGACGGTGTCATGGCCACGGCGACGGCTTCCAGCGGTGACGTTACGTTCTGGGACCTTAATCGTGGAGGCAGAGTCCTAGGAATCCTCCGGAGCGCGCACAACCCTCCCAATGAAGATGGCCCCGTCGTTCGAGGCGGTGTGAGCAGAGTCGAATTCCTGCCGGGGCAGCCTGTCCTGGTGACAGGTGGACTCGACAATGCACTGAAGACCTGGATGTTTGATGAAACTCCATTTTCTCCTGTCCCACGAATTCTCCATCAACGGAGCGGGCATGCCGCACCAGTGAAGCGCTTGCAGTTCCTGCCGTCCGATTTTGACGGACCCGATGCCGGCAACAAATGGATTATCAGCGGCGGGGAGGACCGTAGCTTGTGGGGCTGGAGCTTACGGCGAGACGGGCAGAGTACTGAACTCAGTCAGGGCAACATTCGGCGGGACGCTAAGAAGCATGGGATGTTATCTGCGAAAGCCCTGGCCCGCGGACCTACAACGACCCTCGAAGATCTCAAGGCCCCCGAAATTACTTGTATTGCTATCTCACTTAACCGAGACGGTGGCATTGGCGCCATCCCGGGCAAGCAGCCCATCTGGCAGAAGCGGAGAGACCGCAAGGTGCAGGTCGAAGCCGAAGTTAGCGGAATGACAGGCTGGGAAAGCGTTGTTACGGCCCACAAGGACGATTTGTTCGCTCGCACGTGGTTCTGGGGCAGAAAGCGGGCTGGGCGGTGGGCTTTCCCGACAGGTGACGGTGCCAACGTCTCTACCGTGGCCATCAGCCCATGTGGAACCTTTGCCCTCGTCGGCTCCTCCGAGGGTGCACTCGACATGTACAATCTCCAGTCAGGCATTCATCGCCAACGGTTTCCTTCGAAGCTGTCTCCGGCTCAGGCTAGGCAGGTCAAGATGCTGCAGCTCAAACAGGCCGACAGCACGAGCCAACTCGACTCTAGTCTAGGATCTGGATTTTTGCCTGGAACTGGACGGCACACCAAGGCCGTGACGGGCATCATTGTCGATTCGCTTAACAAAACGGTCGTGTCTTGCTCCCTCGATGGGAAGGTCAAGTTCTGGGACTTTGTAACTGGAGGGCTGCTGCGTCAGATTGACTGGAGCTCAGTCCCTGTTACGGCAAGTCGGTATTACGCGGCAAACGACTTGGTGGCCTTCGCTTGCGGCGACCACTCCATTCGTGTTGTAGACATGGGAACCAGACGAACCATACGAGAATTCTGGGGCTGCCAGGGGAAGGTAACCGACTTCTGCTTCTCTAACGACGGAAGATGGATCATTGTGGCGTCCGAGGACTCGCTTATCAGAGTTTGGGACCTTCCCACGAGCCACTTGATCGATGCCATTCGCTTGGCTGCGCCTTGCGAGTCCCTGTCTACGTCAGCCACCGGCGAGTTCCTAGCGGCATCTGTCCGTGGTGAGCTCGGTATTTCCATCTGGACGAATAAGGCTCTGTTCAAGCATGTTCCGGCGAGACAGATTTCCGAGACGGGCGTTGCTCTGACTTCCGCTCCCACGGCCTCGGGAGAAGGCGGCCAAGGGCTTGTGGAAGCAGCTTTCGACGAGGAGGCCACCGTGGAAGAGGGCGATGCCGTCGTCACACCGGCTATCGACCAGCTCAGTGCCGACATTATGACGCTCAGTCTGGTGCCGAGGACCCGATGGCAAACACTTTTACACCTGGATCTAATCAAGCAACGAAACAAACCGATCGAACGGCCTAGCGCGCCGGAAAAGGCACCGTTCTTCTTACCGTCCCTGCAAGGAGACAAGTTGTCTGCCTTGGAGAAGGCGGCGGCGGCAGCCAATGCGCCAGAGGCTACGTCCAAGATCACTAGACTGGAACGGGGGCGTTTGCAAGAATTATTCACCAACAGGCTCTCCGAAGGCGCTGTTTCTGGAAATTGTAAGTCTTTTCAAACCCATTCTCCCCGCCTGCGTGGCGCGGAACTCTTGGCTGATGTTTCTTCCTAGACGGCAACTTTATCGAATACCTAAAATCACTCTCTCCTTCGATGGCCGATCTTGAGCTCCGCTCGCTTTCTATTGGTGACGGCGGCGACAACGAGTCGAATGGATTGCTGCATTTCATTCGAGCACTGACGAGACGTCTTGGCGAACGTCGCGACTACGAGCTTACCCAGGCGTGGATGGCTGTATTCCTCCGATTGCACTTTGACGTCGTCATGGAAGGCGAAACGATACTAGGGGCCCTCCAGGAGTGGAAGGATCTCCAGGAAAGAGAGAGTAAAAGACTAGATGATCTTACAGGATATTGTGGCGGTGTTGTGGGCTTCCTTAGGAGTCCAAGGACATGATAGTCCGACTGTGTGGCTGATATTTTCGAACAAATTCTCACGCGTCATATCCTTTTCCCCTTTGTGTCATGGTGCCGTTGTTGCGTGATATTTCTGCAAGAAGACGAAGTCCTCTATGAATGCATACTACAGACCTTTTTTGAGGACTGTGGTGCATCTGGAAGGTTGCTGAGGTAATAGAGAGGAGTTCCAAAGAAGCATACCTACCTTAGGCGAAGTGTACCTTAAACAGCCCGACGGCTCCGACTTCAAAGCCGTTGCGTGTCTACCTTAGAGTACCTATTTAAGTACCTAAGTCATTACCTTATTAATTACCTTCCAGAGAGGGCTACCGCGAGTACTTTGTACTTACTCCGGACATATGGTTATTGGATTCTGTGGCGATATAGACTTAGTATAAGGCAGAAGATAATATATATACTAAGACTAGGCCAGATATAGCCGACTATAGAGAGCTACTAATATATGCCCTAGGCTAGTACAACTATATAGCTATATACCCTAGCCCTAATCTAATAGCTAGTAGTGCGGTGTAGCTTATATACTAGTATAGTCTCGCTATAGGTGTTCCGCCCTAAATAATAATATTAATCTCGTTATACGACTAAGCTATCCGTCCCCCCGTTTAATAGGTATATTAGCGTTTCTAGAGTTTTCCTATATAGTTCGATTAGTATCCAGGCGTCGGCCTTTAAGTATATAAAGTTCTGTCTAGTATTATTATTCGAGCTTATATATTATCTTAAGGTGGTTACCTCAGACTATATAATCGATTTATGCTATCTTATTACGTATATATAATATAATCTCGTATTTATCGTCTTCTATTCTTACGAGAATATATTAATAGCATTATCGGTTATTATTAAGTATATATTAGGTTACGTTATCGATTTCCTATATAAGATCTTTTATAGCGTCGTTAATTTATACTCCGATATCCTATACTATATTCCGCGTATATTACGCGAGCTTATATCTATCGGTTTCTTATCGGGTAGTAAGCTAATAGCTATTAATCTGGATTTCGGCTAGTAAGTCTTCTTTAATTATATCGGCTTAGTAAGGGTTTTATATTTATTATTTACGTGAATAATAGTTTAGGCGTTTCTATATCTGATTTCGTAGAGTAGTCGGGCCTAGTTTATATCGCTAGATATTTATAGATAAAGTGTATATATAGAAATAGTTTTAGAACCTGTATATTACGCTAGTATATAATTCTATTAGGCTATTATTTTATTATTTTCTTATATAGTTATTATTATTATTATCGATCTTACTCCGCTATCCTAACTAATCTATAGGAGCCTTCCTAGGCTATACGGTCCTTCTCGGGTAGCTATAAAGGGGAAAACCCGGGTAAAACCCGTGGAAAACCTCTATATACTTCCTTAGGTAGAGAGGTGCCGCTACGGGGCTAATATAGCCCCGGTTTATCCCTGCTACGTATCCGGATCTTACCTCTAGACTAGTGGCTAACGGGAAGTGTAGTAGGCTAGTAGTTAGGTAGGTAAGTCTAAGCTAATCTCTGTCGGTGGAGCGGGGGCCGAGGGGGCGCTACCGCGTTTCCGCTATACGGCGGCTACGGCTCTCTAGCCTTAGTCTCCCTGCGTCTCTTAAGGATCATGCCTTATATTCTTATATAGTTATATTAGCTAGTTTATCTACTTATACTATTATAATAGTAGGTTCTTCGGTTTTCTAATATATATAGTCTATATAGTTTATATTCGTGCCTTAGGGGTAGGGTAGTTTTTCTTTACGGAGCTACCCCGTAAGTCTTATAGTAAATTATCCTATAAGCGTAATATAGCGATTATTTTCTCTAAAACGGTATAGAATATCTAATACCCTTAGTATAATATTAAGAATTACCTACATTATATTATTATCGGTTAGTTATTTATTTATCTAGATAAGGTAGAGGATTCTAGTAAGTCCTAGTATATTACCCGTGGAGTATTTACCTTGAATTAATCAGCTAAGCGCTATTCTATTAAATCTAACTTTAGGGAATATATATCGTGTTTAGTCACTGTAATTAATTACTAAATTATATACCTATTAGAATCGTTTTTAAGCGACCGTATTATTTTAATTACGCTAGGCTATATAGTCTTCCTAAATTCGTGTTAGTTCAAGTTAGCAGTTATTAATTTATTCTGCGTAGGTTTAGTAAGTTTATAGGGCTTACCCGGGAAATAGTCCTATCTTAACTTTATATCTAGGTCGGTGTTACGTGATACTTATCGTTCTAAGGTTGGTGTTATCCGCGTTAGTGTCCTTCGCGTCTATATCTTCGGTAACGTCTATAATACTATCCTTCGTGGCGTCTACTGCTAAAGCGGTCGGGTCTTATATTATATAATTTTCTTTATCGGCGTTTATATTAATAGGGTCTATTTAGTGTGATTTAGAATATAGATTCGTAGTAGAAGGGATAAATAAGAGAAGTATACCTTAGGTTAAATCGATATAATGTAGGAAGGACTAAAATAAATCATAAGTAAAGCTTAAAAAGAATTAGAATTTAAGAGTGATACTTAGGTAATAGTAGGTATAATATAAGGGAAGGTATAAGGGCGTCAATTAATAGAGCCGAATAATCGGTTTTAGCAAGGAGGGACCCGGGCTCCTATTCGTACGCGCTAGGATATTGTTAATATTAGTTTTAAGATATATCCCATAAATATTTCTAGGGCGGTTTGTTATATAACTTCTATTATAGTTTTAGTGATTCTTAGTATAGTAGCCTAGTCGTATTAGGTTATTTGTGAATAGTTTCGCGTATTACCTATTAGTCATATACTACGGATAAATCTCTAAATCGGACTAAGTAGTTACGCTTATCTTTCCGGTCCATAATAGTAACGATTTTAATAATTAGCACGTCTTCTATTATTAGAGGCTATATTAGGGGTAGTGCTTAACAGTATAGGTTAAGAGTAGCTAGCTCTAGATAGTCGATAAAGATTATATTATGAACTTTCTAGTATTTAGGTAAATCTAGGCGGTATACTAGGCGGCTAATCCGTTCTATAACTATGAAGGGTCCCGCGTATTATTATCCTACTTTAGTTATTATACCATAAGATATCGGGATACTATAGCCTTTATTATTTTTAAGAAGACTTTGCTGCGGATATCCAGGAATTGTAGTATATTTTTATAGTTATAGTGTTGTTTTATAGATATAACGGCCTTAGTAATTACATCGGCTATTTCGACTCGTGCTATTAGTGGGGTGTTTAGGTATTCTACAATTACCGATATAACGTTATTAGGAGAAACCCTTTAATAACCTTTCTAGGGCTATATTTGGTTAATGTAGATCTTATTATATAATACTCGAATTAGAGTCGCGGTAACGCTTTCTCCTAATATTCGGGCTATTCGAGTAAGTATATATAGAATCTAAGTGCCGACTCGACAATCTATATAATTCGTTCCGTTTACCAGTCTATCTATAGATAGTACGCCATTATATATAGCAGTTCGGTGCCTAAACGGTACTAGATTCTCTTCTAAATCCGTGCGAGGAATTTAGGGTCGCGGTTACTAATAGTTATCTTCGGTATACCCTATACTACGTCGAATCGTGCGTTAAGTATTCTATGGGCCTAATCTTCTATAATATCCTTCTTTAATCCAAGTACGAGCTTAAGTTCTTTGAAGAATTTATAAACTATTAGTATAATAGCGTCGTGGCTATTAATTAATATAGGGAGCGCGAGAATAAAGTTAGTAGAAATTATATAGTACGGGTATAATAGAGGTATAATAGGTTAGAGACTACTATAGGGCTTATAGTATAGTTTCTAGTAAACTCTATATAGAGGGTAAGTCTTAAGGTAACGTCGAAATTCCTTATACCCCTCATAGATATAGAGCTAGTGTATAGATCAGCTTAATTTAGTATATCGTAAGTAATTATAGTTATATATAGAGTCGAAGATAGCCTTTTATTATATATATAGAATATAGAGTCTAGAGAGACTATCTAATTTAGACTAGACGAACCCGTCTAAGCGGACTTCGAATAGGATTCGTGCTTTATTAGTGCCCTGTTAATCATTTAACTAAATCGTTACTAGAATTTCTTTCTAGAATAGATCTTTAGCGTATCTATATCTAATACGGCTTTTAAAATCCGGCGATATCTTAATTAGAGTCGTTAATACGTACAGTGTTTATATTAGTAGTTCTGCCTATACCCTAATATCTAGTTATATATATTAATATTGATATTATGACTAATAATATCCTTAATATTCTTCGAGTATATCGCTCGTACTCGAATAAAGAATATCTTCCCCGTAATTCTAGACCGTTCTTTTCGAGTCAGTTAAACAAAGGATCTAGTTCGACTTAGGAAAAGGATTACGATATTACTACGATATCGATCCGTATTACGACACTATTACGATATCGATCCCTTTACAAAGAATAAAAGATATTAACCCATTCCCTCGGTTCGGTTCTTTCCTTTCTTTATTCTTTGTTCTTAATCTTAATCGCTTTTTGGATCCGAAGAATATATATAATACGCGCGTAGAGATCTTACCTTGTAATGCTATTATTACCTTTTGATTTTTCTACTGCTTTTCGTGACTTTTATCCCTTCCGCTTGTCCGATATTATTAAAGATCTTTAAAAGGTTATAAGCCCGGAAAAGCTCGACTAAAGTCTCGAAATAATATATTCCTTAATTACCTACGGTCGTAACGCAAAAAGAGAAACCACCTATTCTAAATAACAGTCTACTCTCCTATCCGATATTCCACTTTATATACTACTAACACTACCTACCTACTAACCTACCTGCCTACCTGTCTATATATCTATATCTACGATTCTATGGTTCGATCGGTCGGTCGGCTTAGTCGTACGCTTATAAATCTACAAAATCTATAGAAAAAACATAAAGCCTACGATTACGTGAATTAAATAGGGGTACTATTCTTTATATACGGATATAATAACCACTATACTACGAGGGCTATTCTAGTTATTAATACTAGGATATCTTTTATTACTTATAAGTCTTTGGTTCTACCTAAGATTTCCCCCTATATACTTTCCGACCGTGGAGTCCTATATAAATATCGTGTTTTTTACACGACCGTGAATCCCCTCGCTCCGCGAAGACCCACTTTAGGATCCTCGAGAATAAAGAACTATATACAACCTCTACTTTAGACCCGCATAATTAAAGGTATTATCGAACAGACTATAGTCTTTTCGGTTACGTAATAGGCCAGATTACTAAGAGTATAATCCTGGTAGACGCTTACAGAATCTGCACTATATAAAATACGCTGGCAGCGTTTCCCTGGCGGTCCGATATAGATATAATTATACATAATTA